GAGTGACAAGTAAGTGTTTGATATATCTTAAAATTTCTATTCGTAGAATATGAAGTAAAAGATGTTGCCTTGTGCTTCTTAAAAATCGTTTTTTCTTACACGCTATACATGTTTTACACGGATAAAAACCCTTTTCCAAACCCAAAAAGTTTTTTTCCACCCTTTTATTTCTGATGAAACTTGTAGTTAGATGTTGCTTCAAATTCTTAGCTCCTCTAAATATTATATGGGGCCTTTCTCCAATTATCCCTCTTAGATTCGGGTCACATTTTAACACATGCCAATATTTATTAATAATGTGTCTAATTTGCTTGGCATTTTCACTATAATTTAGAATTATTGGGACCTCAACATCTTCTTTTTCTTTCCTTACAAATTTCTTTCTATTTAACATGTCATTACGGTCCATATTTTTTACTAATCTAATACACTCGTCTAACTTTTCCGGGTCGTACTTTTTCTCGATAAATCTTTCTTTCAACAGGATTGCCTGTTCCTCAAATACTGTAGCATTGCTGCAGTTCCTATATAGCCTCAAGAATTGGCCCTTGTGGATGTTCTGCAGCCACGAGCTATAATGGCAACTGGATGTGTCGATATATCCGTTCACATCTACCTTCTTAAAGAAGGTTTTTGTTTTAATCTCCTGATTTTCGACATATATTGTTAAATCAAGAAAATTGATGTTAGACCTACTATTATCAATTTAATATCTGAGTGAAGAAGATTAAAAAAAATGGATAAAGGATTTCAGTAACTCCTCACTGCCCTGCCAAATAAAGAAAACATTGTCTATGAACCTATGATAGAGAACTAGATTCTGCTCCCAGCTATTGTCCTCCAATAGGAACGAATGTTCCCAATGGGCCATAAATAAATTGGCCTAGCTGGGCGTGAATCTGGTCCCCATTGTAGTTCCCTTGAGTTGTAAAAAGAATTTGTCATCAAACCAAAAATAGTTGTTACACAGAATCAGTTTGATGCCTTCCAAAATAAACAGAATTTGTTCCTCCTTCATTTGGCCCGACTGCCTCAGGAAGTATTCAACTGCCTTACATCCTGCTGTATGTGGTATGCTAGTATATAAACACGTAACATCACAGGTTACTAACAAAAAGTCGTCCTCCCATTTAATATTGGTAAGAAGCTCCAATTTGCCATTTGGTCCAGTCTGTATTAAAATTGGCTAACTTAGATCATGATATGATTTATGTGCAAATGAACTTTGTCCTACATTAAGTTCTCTTTCTTGTAAAAAGTATCCCTCACCGGAGTACTTTTGTGCACTAAAATGGCTCTAAAAAAGTCCTGGAAAGGGCTATAGGGCTGCAAAATGAAGTAAAATGTATTGCCTAAGTACTAATATACTTACCCAGTGGAAGAAGAATGTTACACTGAATACAATTTTGTATACAATTTTAAATAAAAAGTATACAAACAGCCAGGATTTAGCTGTAAGCATTTGGAACACTTACAACAATCAAGTAACACACATTCATATAAAATGTAAGTTACTTGGCCAGTCAATGTAATGACAGGAATGAATGAGTAAATAACTCCCTAATTCCCACGGTATTAGAGAGCTATCTACTAAAAGGCTGAAAGACCTGAATTGGTCTTTCAGCCAAATTTACTAATACTAAGTAAACATTAAAAAAAGTCCCCCTCTTATTCTAATTTAGGGCCCCCACCTGCCGCTCAGAGGTGGGGGCCGGGGGGGAGGACATTAGGTCCCCACCCCTTATTCTAATTTAGGGCCTCCACCCACTGCTCAGGTCCCCCCCCCATCATTTTACTTTAGGGCCCCCACCCCCTGCTCAAGGGTGGGGGCCGGGGGGGGCAATAGGTCCCCCCTTTAGTCGGGAGGGGGGAACCTTTTTTTTTCTTTCTTTTTTTACAGATTAGAATAAGAGGGAGACTTTTTTTTAACTGCTCACTGTTTAATAGACATGCCCCTACTCGCGGTATAGCGAGTAGGGGCAAAATTTACTAATACTAAGTAATTTTTATTTAGTGTTAGTAAATTTGGCTGAAAAATCAATTTAGGTCTTTCAGCCTTTTGGTAGATAACTCCCTAATACCGTGGGAATTAGGGAGTTATCTACTAAGCGGCTGCAAGAGAAGTCCCGAAGTGCCGAAGTGCCCCCAACTACAACCCCAGGATGGTTGTCACAGACTAAAGGTGTTTATAAATGTGGATCTTGCAAGCCCTGCAAATTCGTCAGCCCATCTAAATCTATACTTTGCACTAGAACTAACAATCAATGTCCAGTCCGTGACTTTATCAATTGCAGTACCACTCGGATTGTCTATGTCATCACATGTAGTTGCAAAATACAGTACATAGGCAAAATATACCAACAATTCCACAGACGCATACTACAACATATCAACTCGTTTACTAACAGCAATATTACCACACCAATATCCAATCATGTCCGTTCCAACACCAAGACGATCCTTCCAATCTCAAGTTTCAAGCAATTGAAAGAATATCCACTAACGCAAGAAAGGGCGACTTTAATATAATACTACTTAAAAGGGAGTCCAAATACACTAATTGTGTACTCAATAAAAATATTTTATTAATCGGGTCAGTTACCCTTCCCTTTCATGGAGACAGCATATAAGGACACCTATTACTACCTTTGTCTATATCAGTAATACGTTCTTTTTTAAATCTAAGCTTATCTCCCAGCTTAGTCCAACTTTAAATTAGAACACCAACCATCACCACAGTAAATATTATCAATATGGTCTCCTTCAGTACAAGTTTATTTATTTATTATTTTTTAGCCTTATCCAGGTTTAATAAATTCTCCTCCTATAGTAACTATGGATAATGCTAGACTGCATTTTATACATTTCACATAATTGTATTTATACCTTTAAACTCCTGCCCTGTGCTGTTTTTTGGGCAGGGGTTTCACTATAATATAATTTACCGGTACTGAAAGGGTTAAGCTTACTGCACTTCCCACTTATGAAATTGACTATTCCCATTGGTCCATTACATTTCAAATGGACCAATGAGATTTATCTTACCCCTTCTTTAACTTGGCTTTACCTGAAGCACGGCTCCCCTCTGATGAGCAAGAGTGGCGAAACGCTCGTCAGGGGCACTGACCTGGCGTTATCCATTGCCACTCCACCATCAGTAAATCACCATATCCCTGCTGTAGCATGAGCAGGTTTACAATGGCACTACTCGTTCAGAATTTTCTTTCAGCGGTCCTTTGTCATAACGGCACACTGAGTTCCTTAACCCCTTAAGGACCAAACTTCTGGAATAAAATGGAATCACGACATGTCAGACATGTCATGTGTCCTTAAGGGGTTAAAGGAACACTATGGTTACTTAAATTACTTTAGCTAAATAAAGCAGTTTTAGTGTATAGATCATTCCCCTGCAATTTCACTTCTCAATTCACTGCCATTTAGGAGTTAAATCACTTTGTTTCTGTTTATGCAGCCCTAGCCACACCTCCCCTGGCTATGATTGACAGAGCCTGCATGAAAAAAAAAATTGGTTTCACTTTCAAACAGATGTAATTTACCGTAAATAATTGTATCTCAGTCTCTAAATTGAACTTTAATCACATACAGGAGCAGGGCCGTCTTTAATATTGACCGGACACTGGGCAACCATTTGCTTGGGGCCCCTGGACTCTGCCCCCTGCCAGACACCAGACATACTAACACACATACACAGAGACATCCACTGACAGACATACTGACACACACGCTGACACACACACTGACAGACATATATTGACAGACATACTGACACACACACAGAAACATACACTACAGACATACTGACATATGCATACACATATACTGACACACATACACAAAGACATACAATGACAGACATACTGACACACATACAGACACATACAATAACAGACATACTGACATACACAGACACATACAATAACAGACATACTGACATACACAGACAGACATACTGACACATACACCGACAGACATACTGACACAAGCACAGACACATACACTAACAGACATACTGACATAAACATACACTGACAGACATACTGACAAACATACACTGAAAGACATACTGACACAAACACAGACAGACATACTGACATAAACATACACTGACATACATACTGACACAAACACATACACTGACAGACATACTGACATAAACATACACTGACAGACATACTGACAAACATACACTAAAAGACATACTGATACAAACACAGACAGACATACTGACTTAAACATACACTGACATACATACTGACACAAACACATACACTGACAGACATACTGACATAAACATACACTGACATACATACTGACAAACATACACTAAAAGACATACTGACACAAACACAGACAGACATACTGACATAAACATACACTGACATACATACTGACACAAACACATACACTGACAGACATACTGACATGAACATACACTGACAGACATACTGACAAACATACACAGACAGACATACTGACATAAACATACACTGACATACATACTGACACAAACACATACACTGACAGACATACTGACAAACATACACTGAAAGACATACTGACACAAACACAGACAGACATACTGACATAAACATACACTGACATACATACTGACACAAACACATACACTGACAGACATACTGACATAAACATACACTGACAGACATACTGACAAACATACACTAAAAGACATACTGATACAAACACAGACAGACATACTGACTTAAACATACACTGACATACATACTTACACAAACACATACACTGACAGACATACTGACATAAACATACAATGACAGACATACTGACACAAACACAGACAGACATACTGACATAAACATACAATGACAGACATACTGACACAAACACAGACAGACATACTGACATAAACATACACTGACATACATACTGACACAAACACATACACTGACAGACATACTGACAAACATACACTGACAGACATACTGACAAACATACACTAAAAGACATACTGACACAAACACAGACAGACATACTGACATAAACATACACTGACATACATACTGACACAAACACATACACTGACAGACATACTGACATAAACATACACTGACATACATACTGACAAACATACACTAAAAGACATACTGACATAAAACACAGACAGACATACTGACATAAACATACACTGACATACATACTGACACAAACACATACACTGACAGACATACTGACACAAACATACACTGACAGACATACTGACAAACATACACTGAAAGACATGCTGACACAAACACAGACAGACATACTGACATAAACATACACTGACATACATACTGACACAAACACAAACACTGACAGACATACTGACACAAACATACACTGACAGACATAATGACAAACATACACTGAAAGACATACTGACACAAACACAGACAGACATACTGACATAAACATACAATGACAGACATACTGACACAAACACAGACAGACATACTGACATAAACATACAATGACAGACACACTGACACAAACACAGACAGACATACTGACATAAACATACAATGACAGACATACTGACACAAACACAGACAGACATACTGACATAAATTTACACTTTTAAACCCACCCACAAGTTTCCTACCTTGGAAGGTGGTTCCCCAGGTGTCCAGACTGAAGGTTGTTGGGATCTGCCTCTCCTGGCAAAGGCTCCCTCCTTCGTCTCCCGCGCGGCTCCTCTCCTTAGTGGGAGGAAGTGACTCACAGCCGTCACTTCCTCCCAGTGCTGCCGAAAAGCAAAGGGCCCGGTCGCGCTGTTAAAGTGCTACAATACCCACCCGGTGGCCTGCTTAATGTGGGGGCCGGCGGCCCCATGGGAGAAACAATTGTTGAGGGCAGTGGGGCCCACTGGGAAGCTGCCTTGGGCCCCCCAAGAGTAACTGGGCCCGGGGCAGCTGCCCCGTTTCCCCCTCGTTAAAGACGGCCCTGACAGAGTTGAGACATTATTATGGCCAAGGTTGCTGGGAGTTGCTGTCCAAGAGCTGCTAGAAGGCAGAGATTAAAATATGTAAATGTACACATATATGTGTGTGTGTATCTGGCTGTGTTTATGTCCTTGTTTGTATCTGGCTGTGTTTGTGTCAGTGTGTGTATCTGGCTGTGTTTGTGTCAGTGTTTGTATCTGGCTGTGTTTGTCTGTGTGTCAGTGTTTGTGTGTATGTATACCTGTGTATTTGTACTTGTGTGTCAGTGTGCATGTGTACCTGTGTGTGTGTTTGTGTGTGTGTGTGTGTATGTATGTATGTGTCAGTGTGTGTAAGTGTGCATCTGAGTGTGTGGTAATGCATACATCCCAGCATTTTAATGCCAACACAAATACACTCCATCTCTAGCACTGTACACATATACACCCCTGCATTTATACCTTTATGTATGTGTTTATCTGAGTGTGTGTGTACATACCTGTGTCAGTGTGTGTGTACCTCTGTGTGTGGATGTGCCAGTGTGTGTGTATCAAAGTGCTTGTATCTGTGTGTCAAAGGGTGTGTATCTGAGTGTGTGTGTGTGTGTATGTGCCAGTATGTGTCAAGGTATGAGCATGTGTCAGTGTGCCTATGTGTGTATCTGCGTGTTAATGTGTATGTGTATATGTGTTATAGAAATCACACAACATGCAAACAGAGCCCTGCAAACACAAACATTACATACAAACACACCAGTTTGCTGAAACACCAATACTATACACAAATGTACACAACACTACATCCAAACAACCCCCTGCATGCAAATACAAACATTACATGCAAACACATTCCTGTATTAAAACGCTAAAATTATATACAAACACCAACGCTACACACAAAAGTACACATGTATTTAAAAGACAACACTACATCCAAACACCCCCCTGCATGCAAATACAAACATTACATGCAAACACATTCCTGTATTAAAACGCTAAAATTATATACAAACACCAACTCTACACACAAAAGTACACCTGCATTTAAAAGCCAACACTACAGACAATCACACATTACTGCATTCAAACGCAAACACTAAACACAAGTACACCACTGCATTCCAATGGTAACAGTACATACAAATACACTCCTACATGCACACATACACTCTATACAATAACATGCTGACATTCATTTGCACAAACACTGCTCAAAAATAAAACCCTGCAAGGATGGTAGATCCCCAGCTGGCATAGCATCGCAGGAGTTGTATGACAGATGGGGATCTATCTTTTCTTTACTCTTGTGCTACAGGGCAGGCCTGAATTATTATTTTTTTGCACCAAGGCACTCTCTACATTAGTTTCGCCTCTAGGTTGCGGTGGAGGGAGTGATTGCATGCCCAGGGGGCCCAAGCAGATGCTTGCCCAGGGTCCAATCAAAATTAAAGACGGCCCTGCTTGTGTTTAAGAGCTTTTCTGGGAAACGCCCACCCTACCTGAGCAGAATGTTTTCCTCAGCTGTTCCCACCTCCTATAAGCTCCGATCCAGTACCAACACTTTACTTAGTCTACCTCAATACAAAAAGAAAGCGGCCCGATCCTCCTTCTCCTACAGAGCGTCAAATTATGGAACGACCTCCCGCACAATTTAAAATCATCCCTAAGCCTGAAGTCCTTTAAGAGATGCCTCTCTACATACCTCAAAACAGAATGCACCTGTCATGGTTGATTATATATTTCCTGCCTGTTCTATGTTAAATTTTGTATTTATTGTGTATTAATATTGTTTTGTATTTTATTGTACCCTAATGTAACAATGCAATGATTTGTGGACCCAGGACATACTTGAAAACGAGAGAAATCTCAATGTATCTTTCCTGGTAAAATATTTTATAAATAAATAAATAATAAATAATATTGATCCCCACAGTTTTTATTTTTTATTTTTACTTCTAAATGTGGTGGCTGACAAGCAAGGGCTGGTCAGTTGCCACATGATAAATCTTTGAGCCACCAAGATTTTTTTTTTTGACTAGTGACCCACTGACTGCTAGTGTTGCCAGGAACAAATAGATGGGATTTTTAACTCTGAATCATGAAACAATCAAAACAGTTCATCTGTTGACCATTTGGTTTGCTTTGTGATGTGTACATGAGGCTTTTCAGAATTCGGAACTCATGATGAATCACCAGATCTCCCAAAATTCTGATGAATCGCCCTTCTTCTGTAAACCAAATACGCGAGTCTACCAGGTATCGTGGCAGATTTGTGTCTTGTGCTGTGACTAGGGACAGAGAGCTAGTGACATGGCTCGAGGTAGAACTGGAGGAAAGTGAATATATATTCAGGGTTTATCTCTGGAGTTCATGGAGTGTTTTGTACAGTTTTTTAGTAGTGAGAGAGCAAAGTCATCACTGTTGGTATAGTGTAGAGGAGATTGTTTTGTTTTTAGGCTGTCAGGTTGTGAAAGACAGACTGGTATAATAATAATAATTATTATTATTATTATTATTATTATTATTATGTCAAGGTTATTATTGTTATCCTTTTCTACACTGAAGTTATGAATAATATTTTGGTAGGTCATTCTTATGAAAATAAACACCATGCCTTTACCCAAAATTCAGATGACTATTCGAGTGTTTGTTTTTATTGTGTGGGCTCTTATTTATGTTAAACATACCTATTAAGGCCCTCGGGATGGTGCTAGTGTTGGGCTGTATGTGTTTAGGGGAGTGGTTATGGGTTTGTAGTGGGGCAGGGATCATCTTACCTCAGTGCCTTTTGGGATTCTGGCCAGCAAACAACTTCCCTCCCAACCACCCTAATTTTCTGTTTTTGTTCTGTCACAGCTAGTGGGGAGCGTGTCCTTGCCAACAGGGTTAGAGAGCAGATGGAATGTCAGGAGATGGACAAGGTGGGTCTTAACCTCCCCTGCTCTGAAAGGTAAACTTTTAAGTTACTGAATTGGACGTGCCCACCAAGCTAAAAGTTGGCTGGTGGTTAGAGCATTTAAGATGATGGAAATTTTGGTTTGGACGAGGGGGGAAGCGAGACACCAGTGGGTAAAGATTTTGGTGCATAGGCACCTGGTTAAGTTCGTTGGCAAGGACGGTTATTTAAGTTGGAGGATGTAGGGCAATACGTGTTAATTTATATGTCAATTATGGTATGTATATATATGTGTTTGTTTATATTTGAATTAAAGGAAAAAGAATAAAGTTCGGACGAGTCCTACAGTTGTAAGTTTAATAAATGATGTGGCCTGTTTCATCCAATATTCGTTATCTGTCGTTATTGGGGGGATAAGTGGGGTAGTCTCTTTACTCTTAGTCGCACCACATTCCCCGCTACGTACATACATGTGTATTGTTAGGCATCTGGGCAGATGTGTTGAGACTTGGAATAAGAAGGTGACAAGGGGATGGACTGATGGTGTTGTATGAACTGGAATGGCAGGAAAATGATTATATAAACCGCTTTTGCCCCAGCCTTGTGTGAAACTTTTGTAAAGGATTGGAGACCTGTGCACTGCAAGGTCACAAACCTCTCCCCTGCTTTTCTTTTTGTAATTCAATTGATGGTTTGTATGTTTGTCAAGGTGTTTGTCATATAGTAAGAGGGTAAAGTCATCAATGTGGGTAAAGTATCGAGGATGGATGTTATTTACAGTTTGGATTATGGCAAACAGGTTATAAAAGACATAAAAGTAAATTGGAGAAGGCTCACAACGTTCTTTTGAAAAGAACATTATTGCAGAATTAACATATTACTTCAACCTTATGTTTAAAATCATGTTAAACAGCTTACAATGCTCTACTGACTTTATTAACAAGGCCATCCATGTAAAACCCTGGTATAAAAAGCATAACGTTATCTGAAATCCAGCTCTGGGCAAAGCTCTCTGCGCTGATTTCCACACCCCTGTCTATGTCACCGCTGCACACTCTTGGTTCCATCACATGATTCTCATAGAAGTGATTTAGGGATCTGGAGTGTCCCTTCAAGGATACACTCTAACCACCAATACAACTTAAGCTTTATGATGGGGTTTTGGTTTAAAGATCATAGAAACATAGAATGTGACGGCAGATAAGAACCATTCGGCCCATCTAGTCTGCCCAATTTTCTAAATACTTTCATTAGTCCCTAGGCTTATCTTATAGTTAGGATAGCCTTATGCCTATCCCACGCATGCTTAAACTCCTTTACTGTGTTAACCTCTACCACTTCAGCTAGAAGCCTATTCCATGCATCCACTACGGTCTCAGTAAAGTAATACTTCCTGATATTATTTTTAAACCTTTGTCCCTCTAATTTAAGACTATGTTCT